TTAGTAATAGATACTAAAATAATGCAAATGAAATGATATGGTGTCTGGGATCTGCTTTAAAATAATCCATTGGGGAATAAAGGTACTGATTGCCCCTAACCACTTCTGTCTGCCAGCCTGATCACCCCTAACTGCTCCCCTGCTGACTTGATTGACACCTAACTGCTACCCTGCTGGCCTGGTCACCCCTTACTGCCCTTTCCTGCAGTCCTGGTTGCCCCCTACTGCCCTCCCCTGCCAGCCATCTTGTGACAATGTGGGGTGGCCATCTTGTGGTGGCCATCTTGTGATGATGTGAGGGCAGCCATCTTGTGACGACATGGGGGTTGGCCATCTTGTTTTCGCCATCTTATGATGATATGGGGCTGGCCATCTTGTTTTGGCCATCTTATGATGATATGGGGTTGGCTATCTTGTAATGACATGGGGGCGGCCATCTTGTGACAAGAGGGTGTGAGAGTCAATTTGCATATTACTTCTTTATTATATAGGATAAACTAGAGACCCGGTGCACAAAAATTCATGCACTTGGCGGGGGGGAGGGGTCTTCAGCCCAGTCTGTACCCTTTCACAGTCTGGGACCCCTAGGGGGATGTCCAACTGACAGCTTAGGCCTGCTTCCCAGGGGATCGGGCCTAAGTTGGCAGCCCAGGAGCCCTTAGGGCATGTCTGACTAACATCTAAGCCATTAGTTGGACATCCTTAGTGCTGCCTCAGAGGTTGAAAAAGCTCCCACCACCACGCTGCACTGGCCAGCCATGAGCCGACTCATCTCACAACTGCCTACCCACAGCCCAAGCGTCAAGATGGACAAGTTCCTCACTCTTGTCTCCTCCAAAAACATTCTGTCTATCTCAAGCAGTTTAAACCTCTCTCTCTGCTCACATGGCTAACCCCTACTCATCATTAAGGCAACAGCAAGCCTGCTTCTTCTAGCAAACCTTTCCTGACCCTCTAAGACTGAGTCAAGTAATCCATCTATATAACCCCCAAACATACTGTGCTTCTCTATCATAACTCTTACTTGCTGCATCCCACAGTAGAATCTAGGTATCATGGAGGGCATGGATTATTTTCATCTTATTTACCATTTTAACCCCTCTTGCTAGGTACTCAATATTTGATAAATTTACAAAAGGCATGACCCTTCTACTTTCCAACTTCTCATATATCTATACCTCCCTCAATTTTTCTTCTTTTCCCATCTTCCTTCCTGATCATGATGCACATGAATGGTTGGCTGTTCACAAGGCATTCCCAAATTTATATCCATAGCCTTCCCTAGGCATCTCATCTAATAAAAATTCAACTAGTAAATTCTAATCTAACATATTTTTATCTCCAAGCCCGACCTATGGCTCCAAGGATTCAATCTCCTATCTTCAATCTCCTGTTATCTTCCAAACTCACCTTCATGCTAGAGCTAAGGAATTCTCTTATCTTCTTTTTGTTTAATATATTTTATTGATTTTTTACAGAGAGGAAGGGAGAGAGATAGTTAAGAGACATCAATCAGCTGCCTCCTGCACACCTCCCACTGGAGATATGCCTGCAATTAAGGTACGTGCCCTTGATCGAATCAAACCCTGGACCCCTCAGTCCGCAGGCCAATGCTCTATCCACTGAGCCAAACCAGTTTCGGCTCTCTTATCTTCTTAATAACCCTTATGGTCTCAAGCTTCTCAATCTATGCCTTCTCAATCTATTCCATTGCCTGGAATGCCCGTCTCTTTTACCTTTATCCTTTAAATCTAGGTTCAAGTGTCTCCCTCGTTTCCCAGGCAATGTTCCCACAGCAGTATAGTCTTATTTATATTACAGAATTTATCATACTGTTTTGAAATTATGTGTAGTTGTCTGCTCTGCTAGATTGTGAATTCCTAGACAGAAGGGACTCTCTCTCCTTCATGCTTGCAACTCCAGCATATAAAGTACAATGCCTATTACAAAGTCGGCCCCAAATAAATATTTCCTGGATGGATTACATCATATTGTTTCTATTAATTAAGAGACTGGGCCAGAGCTGAAAAGAGTGCCTAAATCTACCTCCCTAAAGGAGGAAATCGGTTTCTCTGTTCCTCTACTGGGCAGAGTAATATCTTAAGCTCTTTTTCAAAAATTTTGGATAGGTTTGTGTTTAGGTCAAGGTCCAGGACCAGAGAATAAGGCACAGGCTAAGGTAAGCTTAGGAGAATCTACTCAGTTCACAGCAGTTTTAGTGACCCTAACCAGTGGTCAGCAAACTGCGGCTCCAGAGCCGAGGTTTGCTGCTCTGTTGACTAATGAGTTTGCCGACCACTGCATAAGGCATTACCCTTACCCAGAAGTTTTGACTTCACGTTAAATACATTAATACGTTATTAAAATGTTTTTTAAGTGATTTTCCCTAAGACAGTGGTCAGTAAATTCATTAGTCAACAGACCACTGTCCTAACCCAACCCTGAGATTATCCCAATATCAATTTTCATAAAGGCTAACTCTAAAGCAAGACAAATCTAGTTTAAAGGTTTTCATAGTCAACCTAGAACAGATCTACAACCAGAGCCAGGCCAAAATCCAAGGAATTTTTGAAACAAAGAATAGAGTGACTTGCTATTTACTGCTCTGCTTAAAGGCAGTGCAACAATTCTGATACTCTTCCTGGAAGATGTAGCTCCAAGTTATCAGTCACATGCAAACCAAGATGTACCTTCAAATCTTTCAGGATCCTAATATACTGAAACAATGTTCAAGAGTACAGAACTCACTGTCAACATTCACTGTGTCGCCTACTTTCTCTTTAAGTGAATACCTATCTTTTTCCCATCTTTATATTGGGTCTCCTATAATCAGGGGTTGGGTATTGTCTTATTTTCACAAGATGATTTTATTTTTATTTTTTTTAAATATATTTTATTGATTTTTTACAGAGAGGAAGGGAGAGAGATAGAGACCAGAAACGTCAGTGAGAGAGAAACATCGACCAACCGCCTCCTGCACACCCCCCACCGGGGATGTGCCCACAACCAACATACATGCCCTTGACCGGAATCGAACCCGGGACCTTTCAGTCCGCAGACGGACGCTCTACCACTGAGCCAAACCTGTTTCGGCCACAAGATGATTTTAATTTACATATTTCTCTGCTTTTTCTCTGCAAGCAAATGTTTTAACACACACACACACACACACACACACGCAAAAAAAAACAAACAAAAAAAACACACAACCTTCTAAATAGCCATTAGTGAGAAATATGATACCTCCTTCTGCTGGTGAGGATAGTATTTTATAGAATCTAATTTCAGAAGGGAAGCTAAGTGTTTGGGTGGGGATAGGGGGAGGGGTCTATGAAAAATTTGTATTAGCCAGTAAGACAAAGAGAAATCTGTCAAGGTATTCAGAAGCAAAAAGGGCAAGGAGGCAGAAAAAGACTACACTAGGTTCCATGGGGTTTTCTGATTATCAGATCTACAGAAACTCAATATTACTCATCAGTTACCTGAGTCATGGGATTTCATAATCCCAGTTTTCAGAATATAATGTTTAGTTACCTCTCCTTTGTGACTATCTATAACCTTGAACAATATGTTCAACTCTCACTCAGGTTTGGCCTTTCTTCCCCCTTTAAAAAATATACAGAGAAAGGAAGTTCATATTTGAAGGATGTTGAAAGTTTACTCCTACAGGCGTGCCTTAGTAACTCACAGCTTGCACTTTTCTCCTTCCTGTAGTGAAAGTGAAGTTTAGTGGAAAAGGTCAGAAAGCTAGGAATTTGGAATCCTGGTTACACCACTTCCTGCTAGCTCTTAGGTCTTGAGCAAACAACTTAAAAGCCTGAAGGCTCAGATTCCAAAACTGTAAAATGAGGAAATAAATTGGGGATAATAAATACCTTCCTTGAAGAGTCATTGTTAGTAAAATGAAGTAAGGGAACCACTAGACTAGAATACGAAGTCCAGAGAAATGGCGAATGTCTTGAACTCTATTGATTCTTGCTCACAAGCACCCCAGCGTGCACACCCACTCACATATACCTAACCTAAAGCAATAACACATAGTGGGAGCGAGCTCAATAAATACTTCTTAAATGAAGTATATATATATTTTTTTTGTCCTTTGTCTTATTTTTCTAAATCCTTCAGGGCATTCCTTTTTCTGTCCCAAGTGCTTTCCTCCCTATCATCAGCTATTCCTAACGAGACACCATTTAATACCACCCACCTTCTATTTCTAATGCGATGGGGGTGGAGGGGACAGTCAGAACATAAGATTCACAGCCATTCATGGACTTGTACCACGGCCACTGATTCGTGTTTAAACGACAAGACAAGCCGCGAACCCAGCCAGCCAGCCCTCCCTGGAAGACAACTTTCCGGAGACGCCGTACCATCCATTCTCTTCGCTAACAACAGACTGCTGTGTAGGAAACCCTCCGCTCTCAAAAGTTACGGCAAAGGCTCCTCTCGCCTCCCACGGAAACCAAGCGGGCCGACGACGGGAGGGGCTTCGGAGCCCGGGGTGCTGCCCGAGGGCGGGTCACTATGGACCTGGCCCAGCGGCGCGCCTCACTCCCGGGAGGGAAGCTAAGGGGCGCGGCCGCCTCAGGGCCCGGGGGCACAGGGTCCAGTCTCTGACAACGTGGGCAGACCGCACACACCGCGCCTCCGGGCCCTACCCGCCATGACCACCACCACCCTCACGGCCCAACCACCACCCCGGGAACCCCCACAACGCTTCACCGCTCACGAAAAAACAAAAAAAAAAAACCAAAAAACGAACGCCGCTAGCCCCCAACCCCTAAATCAGACAGCCGCTGCCTGTTCATTGGCTGCACCCGCATCTCCTTCACCCTCATTGGCTCTCCGGACGGAAAGCCCTCCTCTCTGAGGGAACCCTCGCGTACGGCGGCACCCCTCAGCCTAGCAACCTCAAACCCGCTACCGAAAAAGTCCGGCCCCCCTCAACCCCGGGACGGCGACGCCCGGGGAGCGCGGAGCCCCGGCCCGCGGGGACTCACCGTGTAGTAGGAGAGCAGCCCCGCGTTGTAGTCCAGCACGAACCAACGGTACTGCCAGCCCTTCATCACGTTAGTCCATTTGCTCAGCGGCCCTTCCATGATGGACGCCATCTTGGGAGCCGCCAATGACAACAAACGGCCTGACGTCACTCGCCTATAAGGCATTCATCTGGCCGGGGGCGGGGCTTCTGGTGTAAAGGGGCGTGTCAGGGCGGGGCCTTGAAGGGGCGGAGCTAGCGGCTGCTGCTTCAACTGGACTTGCCAACTCTGGCCCCCCACGGGAGGGACTATCATCCTCACACTCGCCTTCTTTGGTCGCCCATTGTGTGGAACTGGGTGCCTGGGATGTGACCAACGCAACCATGAGTACAGCTATGAAGATGATTGATTACAAGAATTCATTTTACTAGCCATCATGATACCTTACATTTCCAAAAGAGTATACATCTGGCTTTTCGGGTTTTTTTTTTTTTTTTGCATTCATTACGCAAATTCATTCATTTTATATAATATTTGCTGTTTTAATGCTTTGAGCACTCAGTAGAGACTTCATGTAGGGTTGAGGGGAACGGGCGATAAAATAAATAGTAAATTATCTTGCATATTCCTGTAGTATTAGTATACTGGTATCTACCGTGTTTCCCCAAAAATAAGACATCCTCCGAAAATAAGACCTAGCACGTGGAAAGATAAGACATTCCCTGAAAATAAGACCTAGCGCAACTTTGGGAGAAAAAATTAATATAAGACACTGTCTTATTTTCCGGGAAACGGTATATCCAGCCACTGTTAGACATTCTGAGAATTAAACAGTGAAGGGGTCAGGCAGGTTCCTTGCTTTCTAAGAGCTTCAATTTGGTGATTGGAAGCAACCACTAAACAGTAAACAAGGAAAATATCTGATACTGACAAAGGCCTTACAGAGAACTTAAATATATGTAATAGGAAATCAATGAGTGGCTACTTTATGTTGGGTGGGCAGGGCAGGGCCCCTCAGAAAACATTTAAATTGAGATGTGAAAGGTTAGAGCCCACCATGCAAATTCCAAAGGAAAGAGCTAAAAAGGAAACTGGGAAGTGGAGCATTAGCTGTAAGTGGCAGTGAGGTCAAGGGAGAGGTTTTCTTTGTATTTTACTTTATTTTATTTTGAACTTAAGTATTTTGTTTATTACTGTTTTGTGAATCTCTTCTATTTGCTGATAACAGAAGTGCTAGGAAAAAGTATATCACTGAGTGAGCCAAACAGAGAACCTACTTGCTAACTAATCAATTAGGTAAAGATCTAAAGTAAATTAAAGTTTCTCATGCTTGATCTATTAGATAGCTTTTCCCCCAGTTATTGAGGTATAATTGCCATATCACATTATATAAATTTATGGTGTACAATGTAATGATGAAATTATTGCCACATTAAAGTTTTTAATTAATATCCATCATCACCTCACCTCACAATTTTTTTCTTGTGATGAGAAATTTTAAGGTCTATTTGATTAGCAACTTTCAAATCTACAATTGTTAACTATTGTTACTATCCTCTATATTACCTCCTCAAAACTTTTTTTTATCTTATAACTAGAAGTTTTTACCTTCTGACCACCGTTAAGTTTGATATAGTCACACATTTTTATTTTTGCTTTTATCATTGCCAAGACCAATGTGAAGCTTTTTCTTTATGTTTTCATCTAAAAGTTTTATAGCTTCAAAGTATTTAATCCATTTCTAGTTATTTTTGTGAGTAAAGATAGTAGTGTAGTTTCATTTTTTTTCTATGTGAAGATCCAGTATTCCCAGTGCCATTTATTGAAGAGACTATCTTTTCTCCAGTGAGTATTTTTGGCTCCTTCATCGAATATTAGTTGACTGTATACACACACACACACACACACACACACACACACACACACACACACAGGTTTATTTCTGGGCTTTCAATTATGTCCTATTGGTGTATGTTTCTGTTTCTATGCCAATACCATACTGTTTTCATTACTATAGCTTTGTAATATAGCTTGGAATCAGGAAGTGTTTGTTCTTATTTCTCATTAATGCTTTGTGTATCCAGGTCTTTTGTGGTTCCAAAGAAATTTAAGGATTATTTCTTCTTTCCTATAAAAACAAATCCCTTGATAGGGATTGCATTGAATCTGTAGATGGCTTTAGGTAGTATGGTCATTTTTAACAATATTAGTTCTTCTAATCCATTCACACAGGATATCTTTCCATTTATTTGCCCAGGTACCTAATAGTATTAACCATGAGTCCATATAAACACATGCCTGTGTTTTCATTATGCTGCATAGCCTCCCCAGAACACACTACATACTTCTCACAGAAATTTTATGTCTAGAAACATTATTCAGCAGAAAGCCTCATGTTGCTGGTGTCTTTTGGGATAAACAAAGTATTGGATCTTGAAACATCATGATTCAGATTGAGTTAAAAGATTTACATAGTTAATGACTACTCTTCCATTAGCTTCTTAAGAGCAGGAACCAAGTTTTGCTCTTCTTTATAACCCTAGAAACTATCCCACGCCCTGGCACACAGAAAGTGCTCAGTAATTACTGTTTGATCTGAATTATGTGTTCCATTGAAACGGATCTAAGTTCCAAGGATTGTGCTAAGCATCATCACCTCTACTTTCTCCTAAATCCCCACAACAATTCTTGAGCACTTATATCATGACACCCATTTTACAGATGAGGACAGAGGGACACAGAGTTATTGAGTGGCTTGCCCAAGGGTTACACAACTAGTAAACAGCAGAACCAGAATTAGATTCTAGGTTTTTTCACCACAGATCCATTTCACCCGTACTGCAAGCTATATTTATGATGTCTATGCGTAAATAAATGTCTTGGACACGACACAGGCAGTATCATAAGTTTCTAAATAAGTTTTTGACTTTTATAAGGGTCACCAGGCATAGGCAGGTTCTACTCAGCTTAAATTTCAAAACACAGGTCAGCAGGTAGAGCTGGGAGAGGGCAGTTCTTGACTCCATGTCCAATTGCACAGCACTTTGTCCACATTCTACACCACGTGTCAAACTACATGCTTTAGATCATCGGCTAAAATTAAACCTGGAGAAGACATATCAGCTCTCATTCCCACATTCATCAGTGACTGGCTTTTCGTGGAAGGAGGTAGCAACTGAAGCAGAGCAGAAAATGGGGATTAGATTCAGAATCAGAAGGAAGAGATGAGGTTCACCATAAGCTCATCAAGGGCAGGAACTGGGACTAATTCATCCCGCCACTTAGAATATCAATAAATGTTACACTGACAGAATTCATAAAAGATCGTTCTGGTAGCAAAATTGAGAACAAATCAGAGAGGGCAAGACTGGAAAAAGAAAACTTTAAAAGTCAAGCAAGTAGTAGAAAGTGTATAAATTTAGACAATGACAGCAGGAATGGAGAGTGGGAAATATACTGTGTTGTATATTTACTGTGTTGTATATTTATTGAGTAGCATTTTAGAGTTAAGATTTTAAAACTTACTAAACGACAGAATTAAATAAGGAGAAAATAAGCAGAGGCAGAGACAATACCAATAACTTGTCTAAGTTAGTGATTAAGTAATCAAGTTTTTTTTTTTTTTAAAAAGGAAGATCATAAATGGCTTGTGTTTCTCCGTGTGAAGTTTCCTTTACATGCTGTTTATAAATGTGACTTTTTTTTTTTTTTTTTTTTTTAGTTTTTAGCAAGTATCATTACCAATCTTTTTGCAGATCATAGGTACAGATTGCTTCAAAATACATTCTGTTATTACTAGTTTGCTGCCTTCTCTTCCTAAACTTCCCACCAACTGCTTTTTTGTTGTTGTTGTTACTGTTGTTATGTTTCTTAACTGGCAGTTGTTGAGCATCAAATAAAATAACATTTACCAAATACTGCCTTCCTAAGGGAAAACACAGAAACCTACAAACATTTGACTGTCCTTTGCTATGTTAGAGGAAGAAGAAAATCAGACTTAAATTTGGGAAAAGTAAAATAAGTTATAGCTTATTTTGTCCACATACCCTTTCCTCTATCCAGATAGCAAGAAGGTTTAGGAAAATTTGGCTATGATTTTGAGGCATAAGGAGAGCTGGGAAAGGAGAAAAAATATTTTAGGAGCTCTAGGCTCTGTAGGTGTTCCAAGGAGAGAAAAGAGGAAGGCACTTATCTTTTACCCTCCTCTTCTAATGTCCCCTTGGAGATCCTCATCCCAGCTACCCTGGGCTTTGTGCATTCCACAAACATCTCTCCCTCAGATGGAAGGGACTTGTCCTTTCCTTGTGCCCCACCTAAACTCTGAACAAACATCTAACAGAGTCTGGGACACCTATTGCATTTACTGGTTCAGAGACACTCATTCTCCCCCACCCCCCCTGCCTTGAGGACTTGGTCCTATGTGCATACTCAAACTTAGCACAGTGCCTGATAAGGACAGTATGGAACAGTGGAAGCAGTGTAGGCAATCCGGATAAAAAGTTGAGGGGAAGCTGGTTCACTGGAAATACAGTTTTTACTTATAGTTTGTATTTATTTGGGTTGACTTAGCGGGGCTAATAGAGGTTATAATCAGAGACTGGAGAAAGTTTTCAATTTCAAAGGTAGAATAGTTCAGGTGATAGAAAGTTGAGGGTATAGGCGTAAGAGTGGAGAGCTAAAGTGTGTGGAGAGGTATTGATTATAGGAGACTAGAAGTCAAAGAATTGTGAGACCACCATGCTAGATACTTCATTTACATGGACGTTGAAAATTATTTGAATAAATGAAATAATTATGATGCAAAATTATTGTATATAAATAGGTATAAAATGGTTTTAATTATATATATAGTATGATTTTAATTTTATAAAAAGTGTACATGCCTTTCCAGAAGACTATAAAGATGTATAGAAAAGCATGTAGTCACTTTGGGAGATTGTGGTTGATTTTACTTTTTTCTTTATACTTCTTTGTATTCTCCAAATTGTCTATAAGTCATAGGCACTGTATTTATAGTGAGGGATAAATGCCATTTTGAGAAGGAATAAAAAATATTACAATAAAATATACCACCAGATAATTATGTCAGCTCTGAATTTGCCAGGTAGGCCATTTATCTTTCTCTCTATATAAAAAGCCAGTGTCCATGACGACCAGGATGACCAAA